CCTAGTACGTTGTAAGCAGACAAAGATTTTCCAAGAATACCCAAGATGAAACACATTCGTCTTATCATGTGAAGTTTGTTTTTTGTTTTTTGTTTGTTTTTTGAATTTCGCGCAAAGCTACACGAGGGCTATCTGCGCTAGCCGTCCCTAATTTAGCAGTGTAAGACTAGAGGGAAGGCAGCTAGTCATCACCACCCATCGCCAACTCTTGGGCTACTCTTTTACCAACGAATAGTGGGATTGACCGTCACATTATAACGCCCCCACGGCTGAAAGGGCGAGCATGTTCGGTGTGACGGGGATTCGATCCCGCGACCCTCAGATTGCGATTCGAGCGCCTTAACTACCTGGCCATGCCGGGCCTATCATGTGAAGTAGCTCCTTTTAAATTTAATCTAGACGCAAAGATTCAAAACAGAAATAAAACACCATCCAGGATGAATACTTATGAAATGCTAACAGATTATAAAAGGCTACAAGGAATATTTTAATTATATTCCATTCCAGATCTCGATAAAAGAAATATGCAGATAAAAACCTCTCTAGGGCAGACACAGTTTAATTTTCTCAATTGTATTTGGAAGAAGATTAATACAGATTAGGAGCATAACCCCAATATATACCACGAATAAAGCGTTCGACTCTTGATAGTGAGATCATATTTACATATTATTTGGCCTATAAGTTGCTAACCCAGAACATTGGATCCAATGTGATGAATTAAATTAAGAAGATGAAATGTTTTCCTCAATTTTCAGGTGTCCAGAAATTACCTGTTGGCACAAAACAGTCACGTGTGTCAACCCAGATACCCACAATAACACCAATACTCACTGATTCGAAAACAGTCACGTGCGTCAACCCAGAAACTCACAGTAACACCAATATTCGGTGATTTCAAAACAGTCACGTGTGTCAACCCAGATACCCACAGTAACACCAATACTCATTGATTCCAAAACAGCCACATGTGTCAACCCAGGAACCCACAGTAACACCAATACTCACTGATTCCAAAACAGTCACGTGTGTCAACCCAGGTGAGTATTGGTGTTACTGTGGGTTTTTGATTCCAAAACAGCCACATGTGTCAACGCAGAAAACAACAGTAACACCAATACTCACTGATTCCAAAACTGTCACGTGTGTCAACCCAGGAACCCACAGTAACACCAATACTCATTGATTCCAAAACAGCCACACATGTCAACGCAGAAAACAACAGTAACACCAATAATCACTGATTCCAAAACAGTCACGTGTGTCAACCCAGGAACCCACAGTAACACCAATACTCACTGATTCCAAAACAGTCACGTTTGTCAACCCAGTAACCCACAGTAACACCAATACTCATTGATTCCAAAACAGCCACACGTGTCAACGCAGAAAACAACAGTAACACCAATACTCACTGATTCCAACGCCTCAGTTTATTATTTTAGTCTCGAGAGAAACGCATAATGTTGGACATTAGATCCCTCTTCCTTTCCAACAGACTGTGGTTTATCTATTGCTATGATGTGAGCTTTGCAGGGAAAGCGTGATTATAACCAACCCTATCTGCTACAGTAGTGTCATGCTTATTGTATTTTTAAACATTACGTTCCTTATTTTGTCCCTTGGAGTTTTACGGGAAGAGGAGAGTATAACAGTATTTTAACCCCAAAATATCCATTGCCGACGACGCGTTTCGTTTAGCACCAGAGGGCATACAGTAGATCTAAGACTATTATTATCTTATGATAATTATAACTGATCATATCCACGCTTCGTCAGCAAAAGGAGTTTACACCATCTAACAAACCTCATGCTAAAAAATGGCTTATATAGATGGCGTTCCGCTCCGACCAGTGCTATATTTGTTGTATCCCAGCCACACAGATGAGCTCTGACAATGGACATTCTAGACATTATATGGTTGGAATATTATTGCACACTCTTCTTCTCGAAAACCATAAAGAACCGATTAAAGACTGTAGGGTTAAAAATACAATGAGCTCAATATTATTGTTTTATTACAATTTTAATAGATTACATTTAGCTGGTTGTTGAAGAAAGAGTTAGTTTAACAATGCATCACTAAAATTTTTCACAAGAGGATAGGGGTAAATGTAAACGTTATAATATAAATATACAGTTATACAGTAAAATGTTACTCCATGAAAAGCCAGTTTGTTGACATTATAATGTATGTGTGTAATAATTTAGTCTGTAGAAAGTAGAATTTTCAAATAAAAAAAATATTGAAGCACGTGTAAAATTACAAAAATACTATTCAACACCTCGAAGCAAAGACAACGTTATAACAAAGCTACCCAAATATATATACATATATAATGCTATAACAACGCTAGCCAAATATATATATATACAACGTTATAACAACGCTACCCAGCGCCCTGAGCCAAATATATATATACAAAGTTATAATAACACTGTCTAACATTATGAAGCAAGTACAAAATTACAACACTATTCGGTGGGGATACAACTTGTTGCAGGCCTCTTTCCATATTCCTTTGTGTTCCTGTATTCATTATAAGTATAAGGGATATATCCATCTTGGAGATTATAAATCCACGATCTGGACACATTTTTATGATCTGAATACATTTTAAGTCGGAAAGAGCTATTTTTGGTGACATCGTACTGACAACTTAACGACAAATAATGTCAAAATGTAGTTCTGATACATACCGTTTCACTAAGACTTTATATCGCCCGTAAATGGTTCCACTGGTTATGTAAGGACCATTGAAGGAGAGGCATATGGACAAGGCTCAATGTAATAAGGGGTTTCAGGGAATAAATGGTTCCCGTAGGTAATAGAACTTCTCGAGCAGTGTGACAGAATATTTCAGCGCTTGCACTTGGAGACAAGAATGTTGAAACCCAGCTGAGAAAGGAGTTGAAAAAAAAATGTTTGTTTCTTTGAAGTTAAGCACAAAGCTACACAATGGGCTATCTGTGCTCTGCCCACCACGGGTTCCTAGCGTTGTAAAACCGCAGACATACTGCCGTGCCACTGGGGGGCTTGAAAAATACTCCCAGGTGAACAAGGTATTAGATGGGAGTAAGAAAGGTTGGTTGATTGTTTGTAATAAGAAAGGATTTGGAAATTTTGAAAAGCCCCCTAAACAGGCAGCTTCCCACAGAAGAAGAAAGGTGTGCAAGTAAGACTCTTCCTGCGAATAGAATAAAAGTAGCCAATCATTCATGTAATAATGGAATTGTAGACTTGCTGTTTTACATATTCAAAGTAATTTTAGTATAACCTACTCAACCCTCTGTATATAGCAGCGACAACCTGATAATGGCAAAACATACTATTAGGTTGTGTTTTTCAACTTTCTTACCTGATTTTGCCAGGTTGATACTGGCGAAACGCTGGGTTTCATATCAACTTTGTACTATCGATATTATTGTTTTTTCCTCAGCTGTCATTTCAAGTTTTATTCATCTTAATGCATATTTTGAAGCACTATTTGCGGATTTTAAACTTAATCCTATTAGATCACAGAAATATAATTCTCTTCACAAACTGAGCATATTTGCAGCAACAACAAAAACAAAAATCGAAAATCAAATATAATTTAATTTTACCATTAAGTAAAGTTGAGTAAACAAAGATCATCAAATACATTTATTTCGCTGTTTTTCACTTAGATGTCATTTTCAGAGAATTAACAACAGGAAATATTTCATCGATGTCAACAGATATAACTCTGAAGACTTCTTAGAAGTTTGTAATAACAAATAAACAAAAAAAAAAAAAACTTCTCAATCATGCGAATCAGTAGTTTAACCATTCACAAGTTTTCTTAGTTAAAATCGCCTTCAAATATTCTCGATTAACCTATCATTATTTTGGAATTCCAGGAAATTTCTAGATTAATTAATGTTTACGATATCACCCAGTGACATAGCGGTAAGTCTACCGGCTTATAACGCTAAAAATCGGATTTTGATATCCATGGTGGGCACAGCACAGATAGCCTGTTATTTAGCTTTGCGCTTAACTACAAAATAATAATAATAATTTAGATATTGAACTATATTAATAGTGTCGTCTGTTTTTGAAACTTCAAAAATTTCTCCCAAAACAGTAAAATATTGATGTATAAAAACTTATCATTTAATTAACCTCATCTCTAAGAAGGAATAAAATTATGATAACATTGTATTTGTATTATTTTATAACTATACTTTACTTTATAGCCCTGCTTTTATTTAAGTATATATATCAACGTAAATATATATTATGTCGGTGATAATATTAATAAATAACATATATAAATGACGACAATGTAGATGGCGCTCAAGTAATCGTAAGATTGTATTAAAAAATACATTTGGTGTTTTGCAGTACTGATTTTGAAGTTAAATATCACGTTCTAATAAGTTATATGTATATATACTCTTAACAACAGTATATATCTAAGCTGTTTTCAGTAATACTGCAAAAGTTTTTTAATTTAATATTTTGTTCTTTCATGGCCTCTGTTTCATTTAGGAAAGTAACCGACAATTTATGAAACTGGGAAAGTCATCATGTCAAGTGTGTTACCAGGACTTGAAATTCTTCATCATCAAGTGTCTTCCAGCTTAACAAGTAAAGAAGATGCCTTAGTTTCTGTAATTCACTGGATGCTAATTAGCGGTGGGATGAAATGTCTTGGTATAGGAGATGAGGTATTAACATAATTTCCGTGTTTATTTTAAATTGAAGTTAGGCTATAAGCAGAATATTTAACCACAGTCTTGACTAATGTTTTCATTTCCTTAGTTTACGTGACTACTACTACTACTAAATACTGTGGTCTAGTTTCAACTGAAATATACTTGTAGATATGCAAAGTGCTATGAAGGAAAGAAATCTTGGTGTAATAATCGATCAGTCTTTAAAGCCATCCAAGCTGTTGCTAGTGGTAGGGCAAAAAGGATTTCAGGTTGTATTTACAGAAATATTGAATACAAGTCGAAAGAGAATTATAATTTCATTGTACAGGTCACTGGTTAGGCTACATTTGGAATATTGTGTTC